TTTAAAAAAAAAAAAAAAAAAAAAAAAAAAAAACTACTATGTCCCATTGATTGTTAATTAAACACTATTGTTAATTTGACAATTTGCCTTAATTTTAGATTCTGTCAAATGTAAGCTTATTCAAGTTATGGCATTATATCTTTTATGTAGATGTTAGTCCAGATGCATAGAATAAGAACTTGTTTTGATTTCAAGGTTCCTATCTACCTTTTTTGCATATGTGTCTATTACCCAATACTAACCTGAGTACGTGCCATTTGGGAACCCTCCCAAGTCAATTACTAATACCAAGACATTGAGTAATTCTCAACAATATTAATGATCGGTTAATCCAGGATAGAAACAGCGATATATAGGAATATTCATTTAATAAGCAAAAACGAGAAGTGTAAGGCGATAACTTTACCAATCATAATCATTTTTATCATTGTCAGAATTAAGAAAATCATCGGCACCAGTCTTGCGAGTAGGGGCTGGGGTAGCTGATGAGATATTAAATATTGGAGAAGTTCCTGGTTTTGTTCCTGCACAAAACAAAAATTGAGTTCGATAAAACGTAGTTACAGAAGAATAAGCAAAAATAGACGTGAAAGACAACGTGGATTACTCCTTTTCTTTCTGGATCAGTATTCATCTGATAGACAAAAGAACAAGGGCTACAAAACTTTAACTCTCGATTAAGAAAGGATTCTAGAAAGCTCCAGAACAAGGCCATAAAATAAAATTCAGTGCAGCTGAAGTGCAAGTCCAAAGTTTGAAAGAGAGGCTATACCTAAAGGCGCATCGAACTCTTCCACGTTATTAGAGAGAAGATCATTCCTCTCTTTCTCACGCTTTCTCATTTCTAAAAACAACGCAAGCTCCTCCTCCTTATCTTTCATAACCGACGCCCTTAGTCCTCCAACTTGCTGCTGCCGCGGCTTTGCCGGAGCTTGTATTTGCGATTCCAAAGCCCTAAAACTACGATTCATGTCTAAATCCCCCGAGTTTCGTGTTCAAAAATCTCAAAAACCACAGGTAGCCGAGAATACTTCAAAGCCAAAAAAAAAAAAAAAAAAA